AGCCTCCCGGGGGCCGGAGACGGCGGAGCCCCCCGGGGGAGCCGGACTCGGGCCGGGAGACGGAGAAGCCTCCCGGGGGAGCCGGACTCGGGCCGGGAGACGGAGAAGCCTCCCGGTGGCCGGAGACGGCGGAGCCCCCCGGGGGAGCCGGACTCGGCCCGGAGACGGAGACGGCGGAGCCCCTCTGGAGCAGGGGATGCCAATGTAGGCTGGGGCTAAGAAGCACGAGAAGCTGGGGCAGTCTGCTGGCCAGGGGGATCTTGATTTGGGTCAGGCAGGTACCAGCTTCTCGAGCGGGTAGAGACGGCGTCGACCCGCTCGGAAACAGGATCAGGTGAGACGGCGTCGACCTGCTCGGAGACACGGACAGGATCGGAGGCGGCGTCGACCCTCCTAGGAACTGGAACAGGCCCTGTGGCGGCGTCGACTCGCCTAAGAACAGGAATCGGCTCGGTGGCGGCGTCGACCCGCCCAGGAATGGCCAGGATACCGGACCGGTGCGGCGGGACCTCGGCGGCGCTGGGGAGCGGCGAGGTCAGGGTGCTGGGGAGTGGCGAGGTCTGGCGTTGCCGGGAGCCCCGCCTCTTCCTAGAACGTCTTCCAGGAAGTGGCTCCTCGGACTCAAAGGGATCAGGATCAGGTGGGTGACTGGGTGCGACTGCCTCAAAATTATCGAGACCCAGGGCTCTGTCCAATAAAAATGGTCAGTTCACTAGATGATATACTGACGGGACTTGCCTGGGGGCCTCTTCTGCGTCGGGAACCTCGTTTGCCACTGGGTGGCGTTTTTATGGCCAGGCGGGTTCCCCAGAAGGGAGACTTACAGTCAACGGTGGGAAGATCAGGGGGAGAAGTGGTAGTGGGTTTTGTGGGTGGTGGCAGGATGTGTCTGTTAACGTCCTGGTTAACAGACACAGGGGCGGTCGGTCCAGGGTTTCTAGTAGGGTGCAGGCTCACCACCCCCACCCTACAGTGAGGGAGCTCAGGGCCTGCAGGCCGAAAGCTATCTGCTTTAGGAGCAGAAGGGATCCAGGAAGGGAAAGGTGAGCGGAGCTGGTGCTGGTGAGCTGACGGAGCCGCAGTGGTTGTTGTGGTTTGTTTCTTTTAACCACCAGGCGAGTGACATGCAATAAATTTTGTCAGAAAACATATTCCTAGAAGCTGCAGATGGTACTTCGCCTTCCGGACCTTGAAAGATGACCATTTGACCGCTCACTGGCTGGAGTGACCTTTTAGTCTGCTCCTCCCGGTGTGGTGCAAAGATGAGGATGGTCCTGTGCAGGATTCTTAGAGCCTCCTGCCTGCTGTGCTGGAGGTGAAGGGGCTTTGTATTGCAAAGCTCCAGGCAAGAAGCAATTAGAGGAGGCTTTCTGACACAAAGGAATGTTGCACTGAATGATGGTTTGGAAATATTCACCCTGCATCTTTGCATTTTGATGAATGACAGCCATTCATAGTGTATCTATCATACAGGTTGTGGACAGGATGGTAAAGTTCTGTCTGTCATGTACAGTATGCTCATCACCGACTGACTTCTTTTGTTTATGTTACCCTTTGTGATTGTGTCTTCTACTGATTACAAAGGCAGAGAGCTACTTGCAAAATATGGATTTTGAACAAGAACAGCATCACATTACAGTAAAGACAGTAAATGCACCAAACACTGACAGCGTTAGAGGGAATATAAAATGATGCAGACAGATCAGCCAAGCATGGCTGATTAACGCATAGATCAAATAAATCACTGAAAAAACAGATACTCTGTTCTTCCACATAGCAAGTAAATTATTGTGGTTTTGATGGTTGGATATACGAAAGATGCTGATTGGTTGTTTAGGCTCAAAAACAAGAGATAAAGCTTGAACACTGTTATTATATTACCACTGTGCTAGAAAATCAAAACAGTGATTCACTGGACAAGATTTACTTTAACTGCATTCATCACAGACTGAGACGAGGTGGTAAATTAGACTATCTAACTGGCTTAGTAGAACTGCTTGTTTCAAAAGCGTTGTAACATTACACGCTTCATTAGTGACATACTTTAGTTGCTGAAACTAAAGTGATAATGTTTGCCTGAGTATTATTTGTAGCAAAACATACCAAGAAATTAAAGCCGAATTTCTTATGAGCCCAAATATATTTTTTCATCGTTATTTCCTGTAAAATATTCTATCCCAGAAAACATGTACATCTACACAAACATTACTTTCCTCTGGAGTACTGCAAGGCTCCATATTAGGCCCTATTCTATTCCCACATGTATGTTTCCATTGGTGTGAACATTTTGAAAACACAGTACCTATTACTATTGTTAAACCTGATGATCCATGCAGCGTTAACTCCATTTTGAAGTGCACTGAAAATAACCCCCCTGCAAAAAAACAAAACAAAAAACACCTGTATGCTTCCTTCAGTTGAACCAGAGAGAAAGCAAGGTCCTAATCTTCAGGCCTGCAGACTCCACAACCACTACTAGTACTTTTAGGCCTCTTCCCTTGACTGTTAACTCTAACACAAGAAATCTGTTTTAACTTTGATTCCAGTCAGCACCAACATGTGCACTAGTTTTTTTAAGCCTATAATTCGTACTTTTATTTCCTCTCTCCTTGGTTCCTGCAGCTCTCTCTGTGTAAGACTCAGTCAGCCTTAGATCGCCTGCAGCTGCTTCTTAATGCAGCACCAACTGCTGGAGACCAAATCCCGCTTTAACTGGCCTCTTTTCACTGGTTCACTGCTTAAAGTGTAGAATTGAGTTTAAGATAATTGCATTTTGTTTTTAAAGCACTGCATGGAGGTTACATCTCCATTCCAGTCTCAAATGAAATCCAGGCAAAACTGCAGTTTGTCACTAGATCTTTTCCACCATACTATTAAGCCTTTAACCCTATTCAGGACTTTGGGGGTCTTTTGGACCCCAGGCCATTTGGCTTAGGTGACAGGTATTGCTTTTTCATTTTTGAGAATTTTTTTTTTAAATATAAAAAGAGGGACATTTGTCATGCATTTGGAACCAAAAATACGTCAACTTATCAGAAAATGTATTGAACATAGTATAAAAGTCTATAATGAATACCAACAAATATTTTGCACATATTTTTTTTAATCTGTTCTCTGTCCAATGTAGTATTTATGATTTTATCCTGATGTTCTGTTTATTACTAACCTGTTTCTTCTTATTTATGTGTTTTGTTTGATGTTAATTAGAAATCACATAATCCAATAACTTCATCTCACTGAGCAGCACTTTGGTCAAAGTTTATAAGACAAACTGATTTGACTACAAAGTCTTCACGCAAAAAAAACAAGCTTCTAAACTGACCATATTGTCATTACAGTGGCATTTATAGTAATATCTGGGTAGGTTTGAATAGTTTTACTTTCCACATTTTCTTAGAATGCAAATATTTTATGATTGGAGCACCATAATGAAGCTCCAGGTATAAATACACACGGTGTGAATATTATGGTGAGTCCTGCTGGCTTTGTGCTGCCCTCCTGCGGTCAGTGCGGGTATAACAGCAGGACAGAGTGCGCATGCTCAGATAGCCCTGCTCAGCTCAGCTGTGTGAGTGTGTCCTCACCTTCAGCCATCTTAGCCATGTTGGGTGCTGTGGGACGCTGCTGCAGCGAAGCTGTGCAGGTTTTAAAGCCTGGAATCAACTCTCTGAAGACACTCAGTGGGAGACATGCGGCTCTTTATACGAGTGAGTTAACACACTTTAAAACCGGGTCCGACTGTCAGCGTTAAATGTGGACTGTCTCTCATGCGAGCTGCTCAGTGGGTCAGGCCTCAGCTTTAGCTCCTGGAGTTCATTCATTTCACATCAGCAGGGTGTTTTAGTTAAATAAAGCGGCTAAAGTAAGAGATAAGCACTTATTTGGTTGTATTTATACTCCAGTCATACTTTGTAGCTGCAGAAATGCTTTGTTTGACTGTTTCTAATCTGTGACCTTCCTCAGTGCAAGTCAGTGTTTGACTCACTGTCTGAAACTTTACAGTCTGAGAGCTTCAGATGTAACAGAATGCATGCAAAACTATAAAATGTGTGATTATATTTTAATGTTTGCTTACTTATTTGTCTTCCAGACTTGGCTTTAACCACATGCTACTCTAATTACTGGTGTTCTAGTTGCTGCTGTCATATACTTTCCCTGTTTGTGTTGTCATTAATGTCACTTTGTCTCTTTGTCCTTTCAGGCCGGGGTTATGCCACCCCAGCTGCTCAGGCGGCACTGGCCAATGGCCGCATCGTGGCTGTGATCGGTGCTGTGGTGGACGTCCAGTTCGATGAAGGACTGCCTCCCATTCTCAATGCCCTGGAGGTGCTCGGCCGCGACAGCAGGCTGGTGCTGGAGGTGGCGCAGCACCTGGGTGAGTGGGCTGAAGTGATCCAACAAGTCAGCGTTTAACCTGCTGGGGTTTTTTTAGAAGTGTCCTTATGTTTATTTTCCTGTCTCCTAGGTGAAAACACCGTTAGGACGATTGCCATGGATGGTACAGAGGGTCTGGTCCGTGGTCAGAAGGTTCTGGACACTGGAGCCCCCATCAGGATTCCTGTCGGCCCTGAGACCCTGGGCAGGATCATGAATGTCATTGGAGAGCCCATTGACGAGAGGGGTCCAATTAGTACAAAACAGTGAGTATGAGGAGGATTGTGATGCTGGAGTCCAAAACCAAGCACTTGTTAGTTTGTCTGTAATTTTAAACATCTGAGTCCAGCCTTTATCCTACTGAGGACACAAACCTTGAAAAGTGTGTCAGCACATAACATCTTTGCTCCTCTCTGGTCATTGATTTAACATCTAGAAACAATTTTTTGTGTGTTTAAAGTTACATACCCAGAGGTCTTTTTTCCCATGAAAACAATCCTCTCACTGTTTCTCACTTGCTGCACATCAAGCACACCAGCTCACCTACAACTCCACTCAAACACTGTGAAACTACACCATGAAAAATTGTAATGTTGCAGTAATTCAGTCATACACATTTTATTTTTTTCTTTTAAGGGGTTGGTTTCTCTGTTTTGTTGCATGTGAAACCCTACAAGTCTGAATTGTGTATTTATTTATTTATTACTGTTATAACTACACTGCAGTTGAAAATGCTCAGTCATGGTGTTGACTGCTTATCTAATTTCTAATATGCCTTCCAGCACGTAGAAAAACACTGTATGGACACGTTACCAAAGTTAGAAACTTAATTTCCACCAGTGGAGGCCTTTAAAAGCTGAATTTCATTAATAAACTGCAGACATTTTTTAGAAGACTTTGCACAGAGGTAGGTAAATAATAATGATTAGAAAAAACATCTTGGTACCATTGATCACTATGTTTCTGTTGGTGTTTTAAATTGCAGGTACTAGTGGAAAAATAAAGACCAGAATAATTACCAGCCTTTTTCTTTTATTTAGCATATTTAAAAATGACGTTCATTATCTTGCAGGACTGCTCCTATTCACGCTGAAGCCCCGGAGTTCACCGACATGAGTGTGGAGCAGGAGATCCTGGTGACTGGCATCAAAGTGGTGGATCTGCTGGCACCCTACGCCAAGGGTGGAAAGATCGGTTTGTAATTTTTGTTTATTTTGATCTACTCTCAACTCTTCACACAAGTATGTCATGGTATTGAAGTCATTGTGCCTCTCGTGTTCCTTCAGGTCTGTTTGGTGGTGCCGGTGTTGGCAAAACTGTGTTGATTATGGAGCTGATCAACAACGTGGCCAAGGCTCATGGTGGTTACTCCGTGTTCGCCGGGGTGGGGGAGAGAACCCGTGAGGGAAATGACTTGTACCACGAGATGATCGAGTCTGGAGTCATTAACCTGAAGGACACCACCTCAAAGGTGACAGCCTCACAGAGTTCAGTGTATTTGTTAAAGCACAAATATAGAGACTGTAGCAATGGGGGGTAATTTTTTTTTTTCTTTGTGCTCCCAGGTGGCGCTGGTGTACGGTCAGATGAACGAACCTCCAGGTGCTCGTGCCAGAGTTGCTCTGACTGGTCTGACTGTTGCTGAATACTTCAGAGATCAGGAGGGACAGGACGTGCTTCTGTTTATCGACAACATCTTTAGGTTCACCCAGGCTGGATCAGAGGTCTGCACTGCCAAATAGGTTTTCTTTCAATACTTGCACGTCCTCAACAAAGTAAAAAAAAAAAAAAATATACAGTTCAAGTTTTGTCCTAATATTTGTGTAATTGTCCTCCAGGTGTCTGCCCTGTTGGGTCGTATCCCCTCTGCTGTGGGTTATCAGCCGACCTTGGCCACTGACATGGGTACAATGCAGGAGAGAATCACTACCACCAAGAAGGGCTCCATCACCTCAGTACAGGTGAGAAGACACATGATTCTAACTACACGTCTCACATTTTCTGGATCATTCAGACTAAAATAGTTCATTGTGTTACAGGCTATCTACGTGCCTGCTGATGATTTGACTGACCCTGCTCCTGCCACAACTTTCGCTCACTTGGATGCAACAACTGTGCTGTCCCGTGCTATTGCTGAGCTCGGTATCTACCCGGCTGTGGATCCTCTGGATTCCACCTCCCGCATCATGGACCCCAACATTGTTGGCTCTGAACACTACGATGTTGCTCGTGGCGTGCAGAAGATCCTTCAGGCAAGCCTTATGTTGACAAATGTTAACATCAATCACTAAACATCCTCCATCCAAACACCCAATTAAACCCAACGACTATTTTTTTTCTCTACAGGACTACAAGTCATTGCAGGACATCATTGCTATCCTAGGTATGGATGAATTGTCTGAGGAAGACAAGCTGACTGTAGCTCGTGCTCGCAAGATCCAGCGTTTCCTGTCTCAGCCCTTCCAGGTAGCAGAAGTCTTCACAGGCCACATGGGCAAGTTGGTCCCTCTCAAGGAAACAATCAAAGGCTTCCAGAGCATCCTTGGAGGTAAAGTGCAGCACTGACATACATATTTTATAAAACAGGATGGGCTTAATGGACTTTAGATGGTAACATTTACTCTCTTCTTTCTTCAAGGTGAATATGATGCTTTGCCAGAGCAGGCCTTCTACATGGTGGGTCCCATTGAAGAAGTCGTCCAAAAGGCTGAGAAGCTGGCAGAGGAACATTCTTAAATCATTTGTCTGTAGCCTTGGAAGGTTTTATGAGATAAACATTTGTACAGTATTACTTGTATTTGAGGAACTTCTAACATGTCTGAGTATGCGTGTTGTGGTTCGAAGCCAAAGATGATATTAAAAATTACATTGTGATATATAACATTTTTGTCATGTTTTATTTTTATTTGTTTTTAGGGTCTGCACCTACGGCATTCAAAGTATTTGTTTTCATTAAAGTCACATTGCTAAGAACTAAAGTTTAGCCTAAAAAATGGCGAAGTTTCTTATTTAACTCCCTTTCCTGTGTCAGGAGGTTGGTGCTGTGTTCCTTGAAGGCATCAAAGTCCTGTAAAATAGAGCAGAAAACACACTGAGCATGTTCTCAGGCCACTATGAGCAACCATCAGTAACCTTTAACACTGCAGATTTCAACACACCCTGTTGAGCTTCTCGAACTTTGTCGTGGATTCATCAAGAGCCGACTGGAGAGACGTCACTCTTACATCTGCGTTAACCGCTTCTGCTTCCAGTTCAAACCTACAGAAAGTCAAGGACAAACAGGTTTTACTTGTTACACTCGCCAGCGCAACTGAAACATTGCTGGGACGCAGCGTACCGCTTCTGTGCTTTGAGCCGGGCTGTTTTCTCTTCTTTCCATCTCGTCTCCAGCTGCTGGATTTCTCCTTGTTTCTCCTGTATTTAACACCAGTTTGTATGTAAATGAAGGGACTGTTTCATCCTTTGCAAAATCGCGACTTTAGTGACGAGAACAATCTTTTAACTCACCTGTATGACTTTCCCTCTTTCCATAGAAAGGCACAGTAGTTTGTCCTTCTCCTCAGTGAGGTTTGTTACGCTTTCTCTCATGTTGGTTTCCATCAAAGCAAGCTGTTCTTCAGCCTCGTGCTGCTTCCGCTTCAGGTCTGATTGTAAGAAGTAACAAGTTTACGAGAGCCTGTATTTTTAAAAAAAAAGTAATTTAGACAATCAATATACCATTTCTTCTTACCTCTGCATATCTCTACACCATCTCTGTTCTGCTGGTGAGCATCATGCAGCTGATCGAGCAATGATCTTTCCTTGGCCTTATGCTGAGTTTCTTGTTCCAGGAGTTTTGACTCGCATCCAGCTAATTTCTCCCTGAAACATTAATATACAATTTGAAAAAATATAGAATTAAATCATCAGTATGAAGGAAAGGTTGAATAATGTAAAACTGGCGATGCAAATAAGAATTTAGGTTAGTGTCGTCATTGCTCATTTAAATATCTTTTTAATACTCTACAAGATTGTAAAAAAAGTGCCATGTTCAGATTGCTTTTGTTTAAACAGCCAAAGATATTCAATTTACAATTACATAAAACAGACACACTGAGTCACATTTTAGAGGCTTGAGACAGTTAATTCAGTAATTTAGCTTGACACATAAGACTTGATGATCTGCACAAATTGTAAATAAGTTTAAAAACGTTACCGATATTCCTTTTCCGTCTTTGTGTATTTCTCCGTCAGCAGTTGGATTTCTCGCATTAGTTTTTGAACCAACACTTCTTTGTCGTGTAACTTTTGGGAGAAAAGTGACTGGTTTTCTTTCTGCAGCTGTTCATTTTCCAGCTTCAACTGGGCGTTCTCCTTTTTGTGTTCCTCCATGAACTCAATAATTCCTTGATTGTTGGCAGCTAAAATCCTAAAGCTTTTCTCTATTTTCTCTGTTTCCTTTCTTGCACCGTCCAGTTCTTTCTGGCAGTGTGTTACTTGCTCCTCGAGCTCGGTATTGATTTTCTGCAGGGCTTGACATCGGAGAAGCGTCTCATCTGCTCTCTGTTTCAGTATGCAGATCAGACTTGACTGTTCATCTATCCTGGACCGCAGCGCTTTTCTCTCGGTTACATCCTCTGTAGAAAGACACTGAAATTTCTCTGGTAGCTTCTGAATACTGTCCATATGCTGGGAACAAAAACAAGAGACCTTGTGGTAAAACATGACAATAACTGCTCTTCTCTCTGGTCCAGGCAGAGTATTGTACACCTTGAGTCTGGTTCTGTCAGGGTCTTCGTGCTAAAAGAGAGGTTTTTTTTTGCCCTTAACAAGTGCTTGCTTTTGTGCACAAAAGTCTAAATCTATCTAATATTGTTGCTAGAGGACAAAATAAGAAGTTTCAAGTGCAAGTAGTGTGTACAAAATCTTGTGCTTTTTTGAGACAGTTTCGACTGAGGCTTTAATTTAGGGAGCTAAGAATATTATTGATTATTTCACACAGATTGGTCATATGAAAATATAGTTTCATATTAAGTTACATTAAATTATTTTTCCTTTGTTTCTAAAATAGACTAGAATTTGTCATACATATTTACCTTTTTATAAATGAAGAGTTCATTTGTAAAAACAGAAAACTCCATCAACACAAACTTTCAGAACACCAGCTTTTCCATCGTCTAGCTGAGACATTGTCAATCAAACTTAAGTTATGTCTATTTTTGTCATTTCTACTGAGTCAAATCCACTCAACTTCAGTTTGATTGATATTATCCCAAGCGAACAACAACAACAAAAATCTACAAAAATGGAGTTGTCTGTTTTTGCAAATGAACTCTTCAAATATTCCTAATCCATAAAAATGTAAATTGCCTTATCCTCTATCCCCCCTTGCCTTAGGTTTTAGTGGTATTTGCATTTTCATAGATTAAACAGAGATGACAGATGTCAAGTCTTCACCATAAATATTAACGACACAGTTATGTATAGTATATGTCTGTAATGTACAGCAGTGCTTATACATTTTAAAGAAGAAAATGTAATTTACAGATAACACCAGTTAATGTTGATTAAAGTGGCAACACTATATACACACAATATATTATTGTGAAGTTTAGACACAATATTAAACGGTAAACTTCATGGTTCACTGTAAAGCCCTGAATCAATGACATCATAAATAAATTGCAAAAGTAAGTAAAAGCTAAAACACTGTAAAAATGCAACCACAGCTGACAATATTTTACCGTAATTTAACAAGTAAACACAGTTGCTAGTCACTTCCCGCAATTTTAAAATGTATTTAAATAATTTTAGAATCATTTAAATTCCGCTGTATGAGCTCTTATCAGGAGACGGCTAACTAGCATGTGAGACCGTTAGCTTGGTTGGGCTGAGAATACCTACGACCCGCAGATTTATCGTTTCTTTAACGTTTCATTTTCACATACCTCCGCGGCGCCGCCCTCCATCTTCAACAAGTTTTCTGCATGACTCTGAGGAGACGCCATGGCGAGTGAAAACACAAGTTCTAACTAATTCCTCCCTCCTCAAAGCCCGGTTACACTTTTTATCGACGACATCTTTAAAGTTTCAGTTACTCGGTCGCTAATAGCAACCATCTTGGAGCCGCCCTGTCTGTCCCGTGATTCAGCGGCGGCGGCAGGTGCGATGCTGCGGGGTCCCGCTGTTCGGCCACAAGGTGGCGGAGTTGAGCCGTTTATCAGCCGCCAACCCGGTGAGGACACGGACCATCTGGTAACTCATGGTGGAAGGACTGGAGGCTTAAAACCCGTCTCAGTTGGATGTTTTGTTGTATTGTAATTATGTCTTTTTGTGTCACTTTTAATTTTTTGACGTTCACGTTGCTGTCTATGTGTTTGCTGAAGTCAGTTATTAAATGCTTGGGCGGTTGGTAACCCAGCAAACAGGTGAACCTTCAGGCAACGTTCATAAAACGTTCCCTGAAGGTTGCCTGGATGTTCCACATTTCTTGTGAATTTCCAGAAAAGCTAAGCCTCCGGGTACATTCTTTAAAGGTTTCTTAAACGCCCTCTGTTTTGTAAACCGTGTTTACCACAAAGTGGGGCTGTCTGGTAAACTTGTAGAAAAGCAAACCCACAGGGTATGTTATTTTAAGGTAACTTGAACGTTCCCATGTTTTCTGACCTGTGTTTACAACAAACAGGCAATTTTTTTTTTCTTGAATTACCTTAAGTGGTGCCCGATAATAAATGAATATACTATAACTACTTTTTATTGCCTTGGTGTGACTTGTACGATGCCTCCTAACAACCTTCTTGCCGTGTTTACGTGTGAAATATGCAGCATGGGTCGGTGCTCCAGCTCGACCCAGACAAACAGGGATTACGTGATTTACTCGGGCCCTCAGGACGTCCTAATACGAGGCTTTTCGCGGTTGTATAATTAAATTTTTTATTAACTCCAATCATTATTTCCCCCATCCTAATGCCCAAGCGTAGGGCAATACAGTCATGATAGCCCCGCTGAGAGTGAAAAATCACTGGCACTCGGGACTAGTCGGACCTGCATGGCATTATGCAGATTCCAGGGCCAGAGAGGGATTTATCCGGAGGGCCGAGGCTGGGCTCTGGGTTGGGGGAGCGGCTGTCCCGGCCTTTGTGCACGCCCCTTTTCATCAACTAGCGGGCCAAGAAAGACAGAGGAAAGCAACAGCATCCCAGCCCCAGTCCTTACAGCTCCTCCATCTGCACAAGCGGAGCTGGACGGACCAGCCAGAATGTGGAGAGCACTGCTGCTAAAACTCTTCCTCGTCTCCATATGCTGTGTTAGATGGTGCCACTCTGAAGGTAAGTACTCTGATTTTTTTTTTTTAGTTTTGTAACCTTGCTTTTTTTTTTCCTGTCCACACAAGCTGTTTGCTGCATGACTCCTTGAGGAGCTGCATAGTTGTTGTGTTGCCAGTGCACTTGTTGCTCATCAAAACAAAACCGAGCAAGTGAAGCTGAATTGTTGATGAGTTATATCCATATAAAGTATCTATCCAATGAGCAGTGTTTCATGGCAAAAAAGAGGATAAACCAGCTGAACACATGGGAATTCTCTTATCTTATCTCATGAAAGCTACTATTTTAATAGGGGATACACAATATCTTCCTATAAAGGTGAAGTAATTGTGGCCGTGGAGCTAAATGTTTTACCACATAGTATTACTTAAAAGGTTGAGCACAAAGCCTTCCTCAGACAGATTGGAAGTTCTCTTGAGGAACTTTTGCCTGAGCTTTACTGTTGCTAGGTAACAGAAAAGAGCATGTGACTTACAGACAATCTGTGAGGACTGAGAGCTACTGGTACAAATCTCATTCAGTGGAGCAGATTTGACGCCGCAAACTACGGATTCAAACATGATTCAGCTCGAGAGAGAACTTTATTTGCTAATCTGACGGACAAAATGCTCAGATACTGCCTTTTATACGTGACAGTCTCATGCTTGTCTGTTGTGTTTGTAGCTCAGTAGATCCTACTTCTCAAATTGTAATCTGCTTTCTTTTTGCTCAACCCTTAGTATGTAAGCTCCTTAGTGTGAATCAAGCAACTAATTACACTGCAGCTGCTGCAGAATGGAATCATTTCTACCTAAGGAGCGGTTTGGAGTTAAGAAAAAAAAATTGTACCAGGAGTAGCTAAGGTCACAGCTACAGCTTTGTTATTTATTTATTATGAAATATCCTGGACCTATTTCCTTAGTGGCTGCGAGACGTATAAAAACAGAAAATGTGAACGGTGCATGCCAAAAAGACAATATAACTTTGTTGACAATGAGACTCTAGCATTTAAAAAATTCGGTTGGCATTTCCTTGGAATCTCAGCAGCTACGCAACTTGTTCATGAAATTTTGCTGATGACAGCTGAAGTGTAGAAAAATGATGAGTTAACTGAAACTGCAGAATGTCAGCAGGCTTTGTCAGCATGTTCACATTAATCATTAGCTTGGATTTGTTGTGATTAACAGACAGTGATGTACATTAATATAAAACTCATTTATCTTTAACCTGAATTTTGAAACACCATTTCATGGTATCAAGTAGCACAAGGATCAAGTGCTTCTTGAAGACTATCTGTTGATGTGTGAGTCACATTTTCAGATGTGTCTCTTAAAAATACAAGTTTGATAGCAGCTCAATAGTGATGTTGTTTTACTTCGAGGGGGACAGAATACTTTTTTTTAAAACCCACATTATCCTCTAGTTTGATAATGGTATCTTCCATGATCTCGTGGAACCTGTTACCCATACCTTGATCTTAATACTCCTGCTGACACTGGTATTAATAGCTAATGTGACAGTCTAAGGAGATTTCATGGTGCTGGTTTATTAACTATCCTCTGTTATTTCTGCTGTTGTAGACATGTTTTGTCAGTGGATTAAGTTGTTTTCTCTATTAATCATTTGCCACTGAATGGGTGAGTTAATGATCCTTTAGGTGTAAAGTAAGAACTTTAATGACGTTTTGTATTTAATGCAATACAAGGGATCTTCTGTCCATGAGCTATCCATCCACGTGGAAGATAAAAAAGATCATGAAAACTGACAAGTTTGTTAATGTACTTGTAGTCTGCTAGAGTTTTGTGAAATTGCAGGGCTAATCTGCTTTTAGTTGACCAAACCTATTTTGAGTGTGAGTCCGTGACGACATCAGTAAAAATGTTTTCTTTTGTATTCAAACTTTTCAAGGCGCACAAACTTGGCCAACACGTGCGCGTTAAACCTCACACATGCCAGCTGCTTTCCGGTGTAGGAGCCTAAGTCCTTGTGCAACAGTAACACTGCAGTAGAAACTGGAACACAGTTGACACAAATCGAGAGCAAATCCTTCTGTAGCTCCCCCTGTCTACGTTCACGACACCAAGGATGTAGTTTAGCCTTCAGCCAGCTGCTGGTAAACTGTGACTCACTGTAAAGAAGAAAAATAAGTTGTCCAGTAACTGTGTTGTGACAACTTAATTTATGATTCTTTTCACTCATTATTTTGTTAGGGCATGCACCAAAATGTTGAGTGACTATTTCTCAGTTCTAACCAGACCAAGGCTTTATTCCTCACTCTATTTATGCCTTCCTTTTGCTCCCATGCCACTGCCAAAGTCCCTCGGTTTTTAGCTGTTTTTGAGTGTAGCAGTAAGAGCCAAAGTCACTCGTTTGGCAATTGACTGCATTCTGCTGCATTGATTTCCATATGAAATAGGCAGCAGCACTTCGCTCTGACAGCAGGGACGGGTCCAGCGTTTTCATGCTGCCAGCAGCCGCTTTCTCAACTTTTCTCCACACACATTCATTGAGTGCAGAGGGCTGCGCCAAAACAAGACGGTATTGATGAAAGCTTGAAGACATCTTTTAGGCGCCCCCGCATGACAAGAAAGAGATGTTTCAACAGCAGCAGACAGGTGTTTTCTTATTGGGTGGTTGTGAGGAGGTGGACCTGTGTTTTACTCTGGTATTACCTTGTCACAGGATGGAAGCCTTACTGTAACTTTACTTTCTGCTGTCCATCTCTAAAGTGACTTTTTAGGGTGACACTTCCAGTTATGAGTTTGCATCCCTGCCGGCAACTCTTTTGTGCTATTGTAATTTCACAGTGGGGTTTAAGGCGTTTGGGGGGCTTCATTCTAATGAAAATTCCTCTACTACTCTTCTTTGTTGGGTAATAGTAGGACATCCTCATCTTCATCCACGGATAGTGCAGTGCTGTCTCCTGCTGTGGGTTTAAATTGCTAATTAGAAAAGACAAGAGCAGGAAGAAGGGAAAGGAAAACAAATCAGATAAAAACTAAAACACTCATGGAGACGCTGATTATCAGACTAATCATTCCTAATTACAGATTTGTGCTCTTTATAATATTGATTGACATAGTCAAATTGTGACTTTGTCAGGTTGAAGGCAGAAATTTGAGGATTAAGGAAAAGTTACAAAGAAGCTTTTTTTTTGAGAATGTAAGAAGAACCGTTACACAAGATAGTGCTGTTGAAAGGTTCAGCTTCAGTGTACTGTATCTGTCACCTTTCCCAGAAGTAATGCTGTCAGGAAACACTGGCTGCATTTGACAGCCTCGAGCAGATTGGTTTCTCCTTGGCATACATGGTTTTAAGTACTCAACCCAGGTCTGCATATATAGAAGCTATACGATTCTTTAACAGAATCGGAGGTCTAGATAAGGCAGTTTGTCTAGTTTTTAATGTCCTGTCCTGCACAGATGCCTCTTGTAAAGGCAAATATTGTATTTTTATTTAGTAAAGGGAATCTCTTAGCCATTTGGATACTGTATGCAACACTCCCTGCTGCCATGCTATAGATGAGGCTGAAACCTCTAGGATCACTGCCTTGCAACAACGGCTTCCTTTGAGCAGATTGTGAGCAATTTTATCATTAGTAAACTGAGCAGGAAAAAAAAAAGGTTTGCTTCCTGGATATCTATCGACAGAGTTAAATATGCTGCCTGCTGTGCTGAGTTGGTAGTAAAGCAGTTTGGTAGTTTGGAGGTTAATTAGTAGGAGACAAGAACTCCTGAACACA